CAATGCATCATTTGAATGAGTCAGGGTGTTTTTCAATATATGTACTTGACCATGCTTGTGTTCTTGGGTACTTTTGTTTACGTCATCTTCCATTGCTGAAGACTGGTTCCAATACTAAGAACAGAAGGGTGGTAGAAATCCCTGGATGTTCTTGTTTCACCTCATATATCAAGGATACATCCATTGCATCCTTGCCAAATGAGACCAATCTTATAATTAATTTCGCCCCAAGTTCGTTCTTGGGAGGCAAGTTGGCAAGACCCCTCTTGCTAACTCCACAAGTACGGTCTCCGTCTTCTTGGTATTGAGTCACCCACCCTTTCCTTCTCCAGGGGGCAGTTCGGGCAGCGCCATGGCTTCGGCTGTGAAGGCAGCCAAAGAGCTGAAGGAGGGTCAGCGCTGTGTGGTCATTCTGCCGGACTCCATCCGCAACTACATGTGAGGCCGGGGTGGGCGGCGTGCTGGGCCAGGTCAGCCTTTTCCAGGTCTCTCTGAACCTACAGCCGAACTTCCAATGCATTTCTCTGTGTCTCAGGTCCAAGTTCCTAAGTGATAAGTGGATGTTCCAGAAGGGCTTCCTGAGGGAGGAGGACCTCATGGTGTCCAAACCCTGGTGAGAATAAGCATGCTCTTCTAAAGGTTAAAGTTTGAACAGCCATGACAAGGGGTGCTGAAGATTTTGGGCTCCATGAATGCATATTATATGGGGCCTCAATGCCGCAGTTGCTTGGGGGTCCTGGGAATCGTCCCAACTGTCCCCCGCTCTCCGGTGCCTTTGACCACGTCACCAAGTGCCCTACTCTGCCCCTTGCTCAGGTGGTGGAATCAGAAGGTGCAATGTCTGAATCTGTCCGCTCCGCTGACGGTGCTGCCCACGGTGACCTGCCAGAACACCATCCGTATCCTGAAGGAGAAGGCCTTCGACCAGGCTCCTGTCGTGGATGAGGCGGGGTGGGTGTCACTGCGGAGACCCAGTCGAAGGGTCAGTGGTCAGCTTAGGGCCCATGTAGGTGCTGTGCTTCATGGCTGGGATCCTTCCCCTCCTGCCCCACAGGACTATCCTTGGCATGGTCACCTTGGGCAACATGCTGTCCTCTGTGCTGGCTGGCAAAGTGAAGGCCGCTGACCCTGTGAGCAAGGTGCTTTACAAGCAGTTCAAACAGGTGAGGTGTGTGTGTGTGTGTGTGAGCGGGTTTACCTATCCTTATGGGGACACATAACGTGATAAATATCCACTCTATTTTATAAAAATCGGTGACTGAAAAGACTAAAAATGCAAAAACTCTTGTATTTTGCTTGGTTACTTATGGTTATGGTTAGGGCAGGTTAGGGGTTAAGGTTGTCATAGTTAGCATTAGCAATTTTCCCATAGAAGTGAATGAGTGGGCCCCATAAGAATAGGTATACCCGACATGTGTGTGTGTGTGTGTGTGTGTGCACTCCCCACAAGGGCAAACATTTCATAAAAATCTGTGACTGCAATCAAAAAATGAAAAGTCTTGTATTTTGTTTGGTTACTTATGGTTAAGGTTAGGGCTGGGTAGGGGTTAAGGTCGTCATTGTTGGGATTGGAGTTTTCCCCCATAGAAATCAATGGAGAGTCCCCATAAAGATATGAATACAAATGTTTGCGTGTGCGAGCGTGTGTGTTATTGTGCCTGTACAGATTGTCTCACTAAGATGGTCTCTCCATCAGATCTGCCTGGCTGACAACCTGGGGAAGCTGTCCCGCATCCTGGAGATTGACCACTTTGCTCTGGTGGTCCATGAGCAGATCCAGTGTGAGTTCCCCTGGTCCTCTGCAGGCCTTCCTCTCTCACACAGACGCTTCCTCTTCATGCTCTGGATGCTTCTGCAATCTGGTCTCAGGCAGAGGGGAAGTGACCTCCAAGCCCCCCTCCAAAATTCTTTCCCGTCTACCAGGTGAACATCAGGTCTGCCACAGTACCTACCCAGAGCTGGTCCTTCAAAGACCAAAAGACTGTTCTAAAATATCACCTAGTGTCCCCCCAGGTAATCGTTCCTCTTGCTGTCCCTGTAGGTCATGTAACTTGGTCTTCTGCTTTACTGGAGTGTTTGGGCACTGTGATCAATGGGACAGCAGCTCTAGTTCCAAAGAACTGTGGATTTCCTAATTGATAACTTGCCTTCCTGAATGTCTACTAATTCTTTTAAGACCTGTCTATCCAATGTTTGGACATGGAGTCAATATTTTTTTGTTTGGAAACTCTCTGCTTGAGCTTAGTTATAAATTGATCCTTGTTGCCCTCTAGTGGTCAACTTAATAAGACTCCTGAACCCAGCTGACTGGAGTCAATGCCTAATGAAGGTTATACCTTGCTTTCTGCAGCTGCCTCATGTTCTGGTGGTATTTCATTGGCTCTCTTCTGTCATGTGACTGTCCTACACAAGGTGGTAGTCAAATCTCCTCAGGATGGTGAGAGAGCTGAGTTGCTCTTCTCTGTCGCTTCCCTTCTCTTTCCGTCATGTGATGCCGCACTGCGATTCCGACATTACTTCCTGGCAGTCTCTGCTCACAGCCTTACCTGTCTGAATTTTTACAGATCTGACGGATGGTTCTCCTTCCCGGAGGCAGATGGTCTTCGGGGTGGTGACGGCCATCGACCTGCTGAACTTCATCACGGCCAGAGAGAAGCGGGAACGTTCTCTGTCAGAGTGCAGTCTCGGCGATGACCTGTAGGGGGGGAGGGTTTCCCTGGGGGGGGATGTGGGTGACTGTGGCAGGCAGCATACTTTTATTTTATTGGATGGTTTGGCCTTTTGTTTCTGGTATGACTGTAACATGTTTGGGTGGTAGGAAGAGGAATAAGAGAATTGTTACATGGGTGACATTATATGAAGTTGTGTGGCTCAGTCACATATTATGTGAAAATGAATTCAGCTGAAATCAATTTTACCTGCTTATGTGACCTTGTTTTGCTTCAAAATCCAATCCCGCTTCTGTTTTGGTTCTTGGCTTCATGACATTTAAGTCTGTCTCACTTTCAGCTGTTAATTTGATCACTTTCTTTTTTTTCTCATGTGTGCTTTTTCCATAGTTTCAATACCGTGAGAAACTCCTGTTGAAATCTCTGTTAGCCTCTTATCTGCTCGGCATTTTCTGCCTGAGTTTAAAAATCTTTGATCTCAGTTAATTAGAAGGCTATGGGACTAGCAGCTAAGCTGGTTTTACTCAGACATGTGCCTTGCCGTTTGAGTACCAACGTGTCCAATGGACACTAATCCCACCTACAAGTTTTAAGACCGTCTCTGCATCACCAGATATGACTCCTGTGGCTCATTGACTTATAGGGGTTCTTGAAGTTTTGAATTTCTTCTCATCCTTTGGCCACTAGGTGGCGATACACTACTGCTGTTGACGTAAGGGAGTATTTTTATAGAAACCATTGGTCCCCATCCTACTGGGGAAACACTGGAGACTGGTTCAGCTGAAACCAACTCCCATAAGTACTTGCTTTAAATTGTACTTTAACTCGGACAAGTGTATTTGGCCGGGTTTTTAGCAAAGGTCTTTTTTTATTGCTTTGTTTTACTTTTTTTTGATTTGAACTATTTAAATGACTCTTTGTATGACTAGCGACTGGTGATTGTAATGTCGATCAGGCCAAGATCATATCATGTCCTTGCAAACCTGTGATCTTTTTTTTTGATGAATTTTCTTCCCTGGCTCATGTGACTGTTTTTTAAAATTTGTTTGTTTCCCCCCCCCCCTGATTTTGAGTAATGGTGTCAGTGCTGTAATTCACAAGCTTATAATAAATGCTTGTATCCGTTGCCTGGGTATCTGCAGATTTTGTCCCCCCCCATTAAACCAACTTGGTTTATGTCTCAACCATGCCATCTTATAAAATTAAAATAAAATAGTACAGTAATGTAATAACCACAAGGGGGCACTGAATGGATTCAGTCACAAGTAACATGTCAGTTCAGAACAAAATGTACTATAGAGTGAACTGAGCACCAGCCAAGATGATGTTGTCTTGGTCTAGCAGTCCAGGCGGTAATGTAGACAAAGTATTTACCAGTACTGCTTGTACACCCATATATTTTTAAAAGCCTAAGGAACTGAACTGTTTGATCCAGAACATTTTGGAATTGTTCTGAGTGCCTGTATGCTAAAGAAAATGACTCAACAAGCGCATGTTTTTGCCGATGCCGTGTTCTGTCCGGGTTCCGTCCGTGTTCTATGAGGCAGGAACCAGTTGCTCAGCTCATGAGCTCGACGGCGGCGATGCATGGGTAAGCCACCTCTCTGCGTGTTTCCGACGCACCTGCTCCACCCCAGTACTGACAATGAGGTCTGTGTAATTGCAGATACCCCCCCCACTGATAAAATAACACCCCCCTTGATCCTCCCTCTCCTGCCAGCCTTGCTGACTATGGTGAGTTCAATCCAGTATTTAAGCCTCCATCACACACCCCTGACAGGGCTTGAACAATCAAACCCCCTCCCTCCAGAGCAGGCCTGTCCTCCCCAGCTGGACAAAGGCTCCGGGGGGGGGGGAGGCTGCGATGGTGGAGACCCAATGACAGACATGGCAATTCAACTGCACTCCCTTGTTATCTTACGTGCTCACAACAACTGAATTGAGATCAGTGGGATGGGCCAGGAGGAACCATCCAGGCATCTACTGCCTCTCTCATTAGTGGGGTGGGACCAAACGTCCAACCGCAAACACAGCAGTTGGCCCTCGGACCATAACGTTCACCTGGGTGGAGTTCAAAACAGTTGGAATGCAGCCCTGGTTCTCAAGCTGTGCGTCTTTGTGATGATTTTCAACCAACCACCCCCCCATCATATTGAAAGGGGTCACAATACATGGCCACTGTTTTTTGGAGGATGCTTAGCCGCCCCTGCATGCCGCAGAAGCTGCGTGTTTGCACCGGTCGGTTTGTGTGCGCGTCCCTTTTGTGCTCTCCGCCATGTTAAACCCCTGTCTATCAGGAAACCCCTTCGATCCACCGTTGGCAGATGTGACCGAGGAGAGATCACCACACCCACTCTGCTGACAGAGCTGTCCCACCATGAGCTAATGCCATTCCAGACAGATCCCGCTAAAACCTCTCTTTCTGCCTCTGGGGTATTTATAGGGGATGTGATCCCCGCAGGGAGTCATTCGGCCTGCTGGGCTTGCGGTCTCTCCTACCTTCCCCCTTCAGTCTCTCCTGCCTTCCATCCGTGACGCCATGGACATCACCATTCAGCACCCCTGGCTCCGACGGGCCCTGGGTTCCATCTACCCCGCTCGCCTCTTCGGCCAGTTCTTCGGAGAGAGCCTCTTCGACTATGACCTCTTGCCCTTTGGTAGCTCTACCATCAGCCCCTGTTACAGAACTTCGCTTCTCCGCACCATCATGGAGTCGTCCAACTCGGGGATTTCTGAGGTACTTGGTGAGGAATAGTGAGACTTGAGTAGTCAGTATTGTTTTGGGTCACACCTTTGTCGCCTCCTGCGAGTCCGTTACCATTTCAATTTCAGCCACATGGCGCTGCAAAGGTCATTTGTACATTGTACTAAATTCTCATATCCTCTTACCTGACGTTTTCCTCCCAAGCTGCTTTAAATGTAACATATCGCTCAAAAAAAAAAGTCAAAGAAAGTCAATTCCTGCAAAAGACTTTTGCAGTTTAACGCTGCGGTCACACGTCTTTCGCTACGACATGCTGACGTAGCCCCAGCTCATGCTCCCAAACGTCGACAGCACAGCCGTGAGAGATCCCACACCACGGGTGGCGCTGGACGCAGGGAGCATTCGGCCGAGACCGAGAGACGCGCCGGCAAGTAAAGAGCACTGCACTGTACTGGAAAACGACGCGTAAAAATACAAGACCCCTTATCTTTTATTATGTGCAAACATTAACACAGAACAGTTGGCTTGTCTAATATGCTATTTCCTACTCTGGTTAATTCAGTGACTGATTCCTTGCAGCGGTATGCTAGTAGTTTTTAGCTCTGAGATGGGCTTGTTGGGATGGATTACTGCTCCTGAGGATGAAAGATACAGGAGAGAGGAGGGCCATGAGGAGACAGGGGGGAGGGGGTCATACAAGCCACTGTGACTGGCTGCCATGATGCAGGGTTTGTGGTCATTCTGAAAGACTGAACTTCACACACATGACTGCTGTCCCCACAGGTGAGGTCTGACCGGGACAGGTTCTCTGTTTACCTGGACGTGAAGCACTTCTCCCCTGAAGAGCTCACCGTCAAGGTGATCGAAGGCTATTTGGAGATCCGGGGCAAGCATGGAGAGAGGCAGGTGAGGAGCCGGTCAGAGGCGATCACCCAATCTTCCTGGGGCTTCAATGGCCAAACACACTCTGTTTGTAGTAAAGCTGGCCTTCTGTGAGTTAAACTTTCGCTTCTGGATTCTTTTTATCTCCACCTATTTTTAAGGACGACCATGGCTACATCTCACGCCTGTTCCACCGCCGGTACCGCCTGCCCTCAAACGTGGACCAGTCGTCCTTCACCTGCTCGCTGTCTCCGGACGGCCTGCTCACCCTCTGTGCCCCAAAGGTGACCTCCGGAGCCGACGTGACTCGTAGCGACCGCAGCATTCCCGTCACCCGCGATGACAAGCCCGGCTCCGGCCCCTCCTCCTAGGCTGGCTCCGCCCTGCCTCTCGAGGCTGCAGACTGGGTGTGAGGAGGTGGAATCTCCCTGTACCTCCCCATTTTCCACAGATGTCAGTATGATCCCAGTTTGTCATTCCTCTCTCACTATTGACATTATATCGCTAGCTATTACAGTAATGATAATTAATTACTGCTCTTTATTTATGGCTGTGTGGACCAGCAGAAAGGAAGGTGAGATATGGAGGTCAGAGGTCAGTTTGCCCCCCTGGGCCTAAGGCATCATGTGACCAGCCCCTCCTCCAATCTTCAGCCCAGATATAACATGGCTCCCCTTTTGGCTTCGTCCCAGGGCCTCGAAGGTACCAGCAGTAATGCTTATGGCAGCTCTGCCTAGCAGTTGATGGAGGGGAAGAGAGGAGCATAAGATGGGGGGGGGGGTGTCAGGTTACGCGGGAGTCACCGGCAACTCCAGCTTCGGGATGGACTGAGCTCGCTCTTCCTCTTCTGCATCTGTTCTTCCCAAACCTCTTCCCGTTCAACGGGCTCCGCCACCCCTATTACTAATATTTGTCGCAACATCTGATTTCAAAATAAAGCTGTAAGATTAACGAAAGACAAGAGAAGTAGTCTCCTTCTTTTCCTCCTCTTATAAGTGTTGTGAGAATTTCCATGGTCTGGGTGCCTGTTATTATATAACCTATAAAATGTGTAAAATGTTATAGGTGCCTGTTATGCAGAATATGTACATGTGATCTTTCTCAACATTGTTACTCTGATGTATAAAACACATAGAGTAGCTTGAATCCTTGAATTTCCTGGTTATTTTACTTTTTAAAAAACGGCCCTGTCCCAGGGGGAAAGCCAGCCCTGCATGGGTGAACGTGTCATCGCATTCCATGATGTCATTTCAGTGGTTGTATATCCGGGGGCCTCTATCCCCCCCTGCCCCCAAGCGGCCAGCTGTCTCCCTACTGACGCTTGTCCCGTTTCCGGCTTCCTGAGTCTGTGTCGGACCCTGACCTTTTCCAGTAGGTCCTGGTCAGCCTCTCGCTTTCTCTCACTCTCTCACTCGCAGACGCTCACGTACGCACAGGTGCCAGCTGGATTCCACGTGGCTTCTGAATCAGTCTCGTTTATGGGCTGAAACAGGAAATTCTTGTTTGCGAAACAGGCCGGGCTTTCGCCATTAGGACGACTTATTTTCTGAGAGTTCCCTCTTCTAAAAGGTGAATGTATTTTTAAAAAGTATATCTGCAATATTATCCACATGACCCGTGTAATTTTACATGGTTGTAAATAGCAGCATCTATCAAAGGTCAAAGGTCAAAGGTGAAAAGAATACAGCTAATATTCTGAGCCAAGTGACCTGGATTAGGTGAGGATGGTTCTTCTATTTATTTCTCAGTTCATAGTGCTGTCTGTAGCCCCTCCCACGCCTCCCCAACTCTCTCATATGAGAACTGACACATGACTTGTGTTTTTATTTCCATGCTGACAGAGGGTACATTCCAGAAGATGAGCTCCATTCCACCCCATGTCTCGCACTGACATGATCTCAACATGTATCTTAGCCAGTGCTGGGAGATCGGCAATGTAAAATTTGCTCCGATAAACAGTGAGGATCAACTAGCCAAGAGCTTCATGAAACTACACAGTTAACAGAAGTGAATGAGTAAAGTAGATCTACTAGCCAAAAGCTTCATGAAACTACACAGTTAACAGAAGTGAATGAGTAAAGTAGATCTACTAGCCAAAAGCTTCATGAAACTACACAGTTAACAGAAGTGAATGAGTAAAGTAGATCTGTCTCACACCATCCCCCTTCCCCCAAAACAAGGAGGCCTTGTCCCTGTAACAGTGGCCCACCCCAGGTCAGAAGACTGAGAAACCAGGAGTTACGTATGTACATTAGTAAGGACACATTGCTACTGAACATCCTCCACAACGAAGAGTCAGTCTTTCGCTCTGGCAAAGGATCAGCAGGTCCTATGACGTCAGCTCTTCCTCCTCTTACTAGACCCACACCTCTTTGACGTTATTTCCACGGCAAGGAACAGAGCTTCCTATAATAGAACTGTTATCTAACCAGTTCTCAGACTTTCCCTGCAGGTATCACAGCAGCATTCCCTGGATTTTTTTTTAATTGTCCTCATGCCTGCTTCTTTTTATTGCTTAATGCCTTGCGGCCATATTTACCCCAAATGCTCAGAATTACAACGGCACAAAATGAAGAAGCAACAGTGATGCTGCTGAAAGGTATTTGTCAGCTGAGCCAGGGTAGAATTGGCAAGTGATACATTATCAGACTTCACACAATAATTTTGACCTGCTATTTTCATTAAATAATGTCGATATTCAGCATACAAACCCATGTCTCTGTTAGGCAGCAATGCAATAAACCAACATTCTTCACCTTAACACTATAGTTTTTCTGCGTTTCTAATGTGGATCTAAAGACTTGTACCTTTGAAAACCCCCTGTCACATGCCTAGTGTTGCATGTTAAATAAAACCATTTTCTTTTTTATTTAAATACATATTGGTATTTGTAATGTAAGCGTATTACACCATGCTCAGCATTACAGGAAGTGTATTCCGGATTTCTGGGAAGTCCTCAGTTCACAGGAATAAACAGGCTGATAATACAAAAGCTTTGAGGTGGGGATTTATGGCCAATGCCAAGCTGCGCTGGCTGAAACCTAATGCGTCTTTCAGGGTGGGGTAACATCCAAAGGGAAGCTATGAAACCTGAGAGCCCGCTGCTCTGTATGATAGCGTGTATTTTAGCATTCTCTCTACATGTTAGTGTGTTTGTGAGTATTCTCTCTATCTCAGGGCTACCAACTTTGGCCAGCTCGCTGGATTTTCAGTTCGGGACAAGTCTGCACACACATGCGCACACATTTACATGCATCTAACAGTTTTATTATAGTTTTATTTATTGTAGATAGTCTGTAGGGTTTGCAAACTACCCCAACACTTTTGATGCAGCTAATTCTGGGTTTATAATGGAATAATATAAATTTGCCAAAAGATTTCATGCGTGAGTGTGAGAGTCTTAGAGCGAGTGTCAGCCAGATGCATGTTGGCAACCCTGCTGTCTTACATATTAGCATGTATGTTAGGATTCTCTCCCTTATGTGTTAGCGTGTTCTCTCTCTTACATGTTAGCATGTATGTTAGGATTCTCTCCCTTATGTGTTAGCGTGTTCTCTCTCTTACATGTTAGCATGTATGTTAGGATTCTCTCCCTTATGTGTTAGCGTGTTCTCTCTCTTACATGTTAGCATGTATGTTAGGATTCTCTCCCTTATGTGTTAGCGTGTTCTCTCTCTTGCATGTTAGCATGT